AAGGTCCAAACAAATTTTGTTTGAAAAGTTCACTTGGCAGTTGTTATCAGCTGCCAATATATTCAACTTAAATCTAATTGATCCCATTTCAGTTCCATACTTGGTTGTAGCAGAAGTTGTACTCAAAAAGAAAAAAAAATAAAATAAAATCTGTACATAACAAGGAGGAAAGAGAGGGGCAAAAAAAGAAAATAGTTAACACTTAACACTATCATTACCTACTTATCTATGCAAAATTTGCTTTACTTATATTACTTATTTTCTTGTGGGCTTAGAAATTTGAATATGTCTAACTCTAAGAGGCAGAATGAATTTCTTAGAGTGTTGGAATGGTTGAATTGAATAAGATATTGTTTTTTGAGTGAACATGTAAGTTTTTAAGGAGGTATTGTAATCTTAACACCTGAATAGGAATGTAAATGAATCGGATCATGATATTATTTTGTCGAATTCAAATATTTGGATCGGATCGGATAATATGATCTGATCTGAAATCGGATTGAATTCGATTATGAATTTGATTATTTATATTGCATTTTTGTAAATTTGTTATTTTATTTATTTTTTATAAAAATATGTTTATATATGATAAAAATAATTGAAAAGATATATACTTATATTTTTTGTTTTTCTCTATTTAAATTGTTATATTTTATTTTATTTTAATAATTTATTAACTCTTTTAAAAAATTAAATTGGATTGGATCAAATCTGAATATCTGACTTCCTTATCTGATTCGAATTTAAATCAATGTTTATGAGATTTGATCAAATCAAATCTAATATTCATAGTATTGAATCACATTCAGATATACCCTAATTTGAATCCAATTTGATCCCTTTGCATCCCTACACCTACAACTGGAGTTGGACTGATAACTATATACTTAATATTGTATTATTGAATTACTTTTATACAACACAATGAGCTAAATTCATAATACTCTCTCCAATGTTTAAGCTAGAAATTTGAGTCATGGAGCAAACATCTTGCTATTTTCAATTACTTTGGCTGATTTAGAGGTAATTCCATTAGGGTGGAGAGATGACCGAAGAGAATGAGAGGAAAAGGTGGCTAACTGGCTACAACCTATGAGACAAATACTCTAAAAATAGACCAAACAACAACAGTGAATAGATAGAAGTGTATGGACGATAGGGTTTAGATTTGGATTTTATTTCATGATAAATTTTTCGGCATTAAATAGATATTTCCCATTTCCCTCGTGTCATTTTGAATTAAACCAAACATGCAATATAAAAAGGATAAAGTTTTGCTTTTTACTCAAGAGCTGTCTATATACAGGCGCATTTGACAAAATTAAATTACGATGCATTTGATAAATAAGGTATATTTATCAAGGTTTTTAAAACCAACTCAGAGAACGAATCGGTCAGGGGTCCGGTTCTCAGGTTGAACGGTCCGACCGTTTGAATCGAGTGATCAGCTCGTTCTGGCAAAAATAAAAATAAAAATAATAAAAATGATCAAAATCGTTGAATGTTCGAATGGTTCAACCGCTCGGGTCAATGGTTTACCGACCAAATCAATATTTTTTTTGGCAAAAATCTGATTTTAGAAAAAAACGAAACTGATCACCTGGCCAGTTCCTGGTTTTTCTGGTCCAACCGTCCAGTCCGATCCAGTTTTGAAAACAATGATATTTACCATTACATTTCAATCGCATCTTTTGCTGCATGATGTAGTAAATATATCATAATGTTGCCATATGGCAATTTCAACTCTGGCATATAAGCCCAAATACATCCAAACACAACAAAGCTAGTTAAATTGGTATTGAATTTGTGGGTGGTCTGTTTCAGGCAGGCCGAGAACTTGATAGAATTAATCATAGGATTATACAACCCATTAAATTAAACAGTTTAATGAATTAGGTTGGTTGGTTGGTTTGGATCGTGAGTGGATTTGGATTTAAATATTCCAATCACCTCATTTAAATTGGTTTTAGGGGGCATTTAGTTCACAGGTTTCATATTGTTTTCTCATATTTTTAATAAGTGAAGAGGAAAAAAATATTTTTTTTTTCTGATTATTGAACCGCAAACAAAGGTCTCTTAAGAAAAAAACTACAATAATTTAAAACAGAACGATGGTTAATTTCTGCTTCTGAAGAGAAAATGCTAACGTGCAGCCATCCATTGTCCGAAGAAATTTTCTGTTAAAGACCTTATCAACTGAGCTAGATTTTTTTTTGGTAAAAATCAACTGAGCTAATTGATACCTCCAACTAGCTCGTGTATCGCGGAGACCCTACTAGTAATAAAAATTTTTCAGTATTTTATTAATCCATCACACCCCGATTGAGCTAGTTGGTACTTTCAAAAAAAGAAAAATATTATGGTTACCAACGTTCCAGTGTTCCATCCAGCCCTTATGGAGAGTACAGTCTTATTCCCTATGCAATAGTAATTAAGGTTGTGTTTGGATAAGCATAGCACTTATGCTTTTAAAGTCCATAAGCATAAAGTCTTAATTTCAAGTTTTATGTTTTGGGGTTGGGGATTAAAAGTGTTTTCAACTTTACACTATTTTTAAAGCAATTCACACCAAAAGCTCAAGGCACTTTTTGGCTTACGCATAATTCACACATCCAAAGTTCAGAAGCAAAAGCTTATCCCAACATGGTCCTAGTCATTCAATTCAGCTACAATTGCCAATGAATCGAACCTGGTTGAATATAGGGTATATCAATTCGAAGCCAATTATTAAATATGACAAAATCATAAACTCAGAACCATCTTGATTATTATTTATTATTTGAAAATTAGGATAATAAGTCAAATCCAATTATACCAGCATTTATAATTATCTATGTTAATAATAACTTAGAATTTTAATTTTAATAATATAATGGGTCATTTACTTAGACACCCCTTATATTTTCACATAATTACTGAGACACCCCTATAGTTTGTGTGTTACTATCACATCCCTCATAGTTTGTATGGTCATTTGACCTTAAGGGTATTTTCTATAATTTTTATATAAAAAATACCCCTAGGCCCTAACAATTCAAAAATTAGTTTTTTGTTGTATAATACCGGTGTTATGTTGTTCAGCTCAAAAGTGTCCCACAGAAACAAATCTCCTAAATAACTCTATTTCCCTGATATCATGGCCGTTGTTAATTTGGTGGCTGGGATCATCGGAGGATTTTATTTATTTATTTAATTAAAATGAAAGCAATGACGGTTCAACCGTTCAATTCGAACGGATGGCCCATTTTGACAAACAATTAAAAATAAAAAATGACCAAAAATCGTTGAACGGGTCGATAGGTCGATGGTTCGACTATCTAAGCCAATAGATTATTGACTGATTCAACAGTTTTTGGCCAAAAATCAGGTTTGGAGTAAAATAAAACTGATTGCTTGAACAATTCTTCAACTGAATGGTCCAACCATCCGTATCACCAGCGGTTCGAGAACCATGATAATGGCCTATAGAGGCTGTACTCATCCTCAGAATACAATGACGAAGATAGAAGGCCTTGCATTTTTTGAGACTCGCCTCCTAAGTTCTTGCACTCGGGAACTCCAAAAAAAAAAGCATAAGCATTGCCTACAAATACATCACTTTTCTATGCAAAAAAAAAAGAAGAAAAAAGCATAAAAGAAATAAGATAGAACTTATTTAGATCGTTTTTTTTTTTTTTCCATCCCCTAAAACACAATGGAATGGCGAGCAAAAAATTAGAATAAACAAAATGGCTTTAGCTATTCACACCATTCTAGTTGAAAAACCAAAGAGTAGCAAAATCATAGAAGGTTCGTTAAGGAGAAAATATCCTTTAGTCTATTGAGAAATCAGAATTTTGAATCACACATCTTTAGTGTAGAGAGGCAAAGTTCAAAATATCTATCGACTCTATAAGAATTTCTCTTAGAGCCCTTAGGCTGTTTTTGCAATGCAAATAAATTTGCACTGATGCAAAACTATGGCAGCGCAAATGATTTGAATATAAATTCTGGCCTGTTTTTATTTCAAGTTTTAACTTATTTTGTTTGATTGCAGTACCAATGAAGTAGATTAATATAAAACCCAAAATAAAATTAAACAAAAACTTGCATTTTTTTTTATTTGCACTCCCATGCCTTTGTACTAATGCAAATAAAATTGCACTGCAACCAAACACAGCCTTAAGTTCATCAAAGGAGGCTTGTTAGAGGTTGAAGATGATAGACCCAAACCTTATATATCTTCCTGCAAGGTTCTTTAGTCATGTGATCAGTGATCATGTGAGGTTGGGCCAAACCAACCTACCATGTCTCAGCTGCTAGATTATGGTTGCCCGATTTTTATAATGGCAAAATTGGTATTTTAGTTCTTCCCTTTCTTTCGATTAAATCGGTCAAACATATAGGGTTGAAAATGTCATTTAACTCTTTAAGTTTTGACAGACAAAGCATTTAGTAAAACCGGAGCAAACTAGAAGGGGTGCTTTGGGTATTTTTGTTAATATGGTATAATATAGGGGTGTTTTAATAAATGACTCAATAATAATTATTATAAAAAACCTTTATATATTATTAACTCAATAACCGTTTCGGGTATTAATCAATTTGGAACAAAATAACAATCAGAACCGATCGGATTAACAAAAATACAAAATCATCCGATAATAAAATCGGTTCTACCCGGTAAAACGGATCTTTTGACGGCCGGAGTTATCACGGTTCACGGGCCACAACATGTTCTCTAAGACATATATGTCAATTTTATAAATGAGAATGGCATATAAGACATAACATTAATTCGCCTGTATTAAATCATGTATGGAAAATCTAGCCTATAATCCTAGATAACCTGCGGAAATAATGGCGACGATTAGATTGAATTTTGAATAGGAGGCGAAAAATCGGAAACGAGAAAGCAGTCGGAATGAAATTCAAATTCATCTCAAATGCAAATCGAAATTGGGGTCAAATGAAATTCTACTTAAACCAACGCGGAGTTTAGATAGGAAGGCGAGGGAGGAGTCGAGGACTGAGGTGGGGGCTTCAGAGGGAAAGAAAATATTGTGTAGACTCGTCCTACCAAGCTTTTATGTGGGCGAGCGCCGGTGACTTCGGCCTTTCCGCCCGAGAAGCCTCTTTTTTCGTCTTAGGACAACCTTTCTAGATTTAAAGACGAAAATCCTTGGCATCACGCAGTCGCAGAGAATTTCTTGTTAGCTTGCGCTGATCGGTCGGCATTGCCCTGCTTCAGCTTGAAATGCTGGGCTCACGGCGAGGTACGGTCTTCCTGTAATCCCCACCAGTTCACTTTTCTCTGATGCTGATAATCTAGGGTTCATAATCCGGTAATGAACCTTAAATAGTACGGTTTTATCTATTTGTTTGTAGATTCTGGTGCTCAGATCTTCAGCATTTTAGGGTTTAGTCTTCGGGTTCCCTGAAACGGAGCTTTGGTTCTGGTCTTCAACCAGTCTTTAAGCCTTTATTATCCCCCCCCCCCTTTTTTTTTCGTTTTACTCTGAAAAACGAACAAAATGGAGGATACAGAAGAAGCTCGTAATGATATGATGCAGCGGCTTCAATCGTCATTCGGTACTTCGTCGTCTTCTATTCCGAAACAGCATTCATCGACCAGTCGGCCTGATGTTCCTCAGTTAAATGCTTCGCAAATCCGTGCTCCCATAAGACCATTTTTCCAGAATTTCAGCCCGGATAACAACAAGCGGCCGGGTATACCTCCGTCTCACCCGCATATTCCTCCCGCCTCACCATATTCGCAGATCCCAGTGTCCCGACCGAATGCTCAGGCACTGGGTTCTCAGAGTTTCAGTCCCGGGCCTTCTCATTCTAGATCTCTGTCACAGCCCGCATTTTTCTCACTTGATTCTTTGCCCCCACTGAGTCCTTCACCGTATCGTGACTCCCCATCTACTTCGCTCTCCGACCCAATTTCCGCAGATGTTACTATGGAAGATCGTGATGGGAGCTCGCATACCCAACTGCCTCCCTCACCTTTCACGAGAGGCAATTCCATCCGCCTGGGCGAGATCCTCCCTCCTCGCAAAGCGCATAGGCGCTCTAACAGTGATATTCCATTTGGATTCTCAACCATCATGCAATCTTCTCCACCCCTCGTCCCGCTCAGGAGCCCTGGTGTTTTGGAGCGGTCGGTATCTGTGAGAGAGAATTCGGTTTCAACTAAGCCAATTCAGTTGGTGAAACGGGAATCAGAGTGGGATAGAGATGGGGATATCAATGCAGAAGGGATGGGTGAGAGGAAATCGGAAGGGGAGGTGGTGGATGATTTGTTCTCCGCTTATATGAATTTAGACAATATGGATACATTGAATTCTTCTGGAACTGAGGAGAGGAACTGTAATGAGAACCGTGAGGATTTGGATAGCAGAGCAAGTGGCACAAAGACAAATGGAGCGGATAGTAGTGAGAATGAAGCAGAAAGCAGTATGAATGAAAGTGGCAACAGCATGAATCGAGCTAACCTAAGTTCCTCAACTGAAAAGAAGGAAGGGATCAAAAGGACTGCAGGAGGAGATATTGCTCCAACCACTCGTCACTATAGAAGTGTTTCTATGGATAGTTTTATGGGCAAGATGAATTTTGGTGACGAGTCACCAAAATTGCCTCCTACAGGAACTCGGGCAGGTCAACATTCTCACAGCAATTCAATGGATGGGAACTCAGCTACATTTAGCTTGGATTTTGGAAATGGGGAGTTCAGTGGAGCTGAGCTTAAGAAGATTATGGCTAATGAAAAACTTGCTGAGATTGCAATGACAGACCCCAAACGTGCCAAAAGGTAATTTACCTGTAATAATTGTGTTATTTTTGTAGTTACCGCTAAGATGTATTTATTATTTCAAGAAATCTCCTAAATGGCCATCTTATCCATGTTTGGCATGCATTTGAATCAGACTCTCCACAAATTCTTGAGGATGCTTTTACATAACATTTTTTTAATCTCCAGATAAAGTACAAGATGAATGTCATTTTCATGTCAAACATTACTTGGTAAAAAAAGCAACATTTTAGACCTACTTTGCATAATGTTGGAATTCAAAAATTCATATTGTTGGAACTTGGAACTACTTTAATGGTATATACTTTTCCATAGATATCTGTGAGTCCATGTTTTCCCCTCCTACCAAGTCAGGCTCTTGGACACTCATCAGATTTTGAATCCTATGTTCTTGTCCATGCAACTCTGGATACACTCTAATGCATGATCTCTTTTTAGGATTTTAGCAAATCGACAGTCAGCTGCTCGGTCCAAGGAGCGGAAGATGAAGTACATCTCAGAATTGGAACACAAGGTACAGACACTGCAGACAGAAGCTACCACATTGTCTGCTCAGCTGACACTCTTACAGGTGCGTATTTGTAGTAATGTATTCTTTTTTTGCTTTCTGTTACTGCTGCTTAAAATTTTTTATTCCTCCTTTGGTTTAGAGAGATTCTGCAGGGCTCACTAGTCAGAACAATGAGTTGAAATTCCGTCTTCAGGCCATGGAGCAGCAGGCACAACTTAGAGATGGTATATGGTTCCATCCTTTCTTTTATTACATATGATATATGTCTTTTTTGTAGTTTGTCAAGTATTCCATGAACAAACTTTAATTTTATATGCATGCCTTTTATTTCTATTAATTTTACATGCATATTAATGCACCAAATGCTTCATTGGTTGAGAAAGGAAAATTTGCTGCTGCAAATGTATCGACTTTGCAAGGTTGAAAATGTTTGTATTGCTTGCCAATGCAGTCTATTTATTAAACAAGAGACTCAATATTTCAAGGTGAAATTATTTTTTTTTTCTGGATTAGACCTCCTAATTTAATGCCATTGAGTAGTGTGTCTTTACTGACAGGTCTTTCCTCTAGCATGCTAAACCAATTTGGCATTTTCTAATTTCCATTGACCTAGGCCTGGAGCCTCCTTTACAGTCTAGTTAAGAGCTTCAAACAAGTCAAGTACAGCAGGATTCCACCTGGCAGGCACATTGATCAAATAGTGCTTCTGTTTAATGTTTGATTGCAGTCTTTCATCTCTTTTTATTCATTTGACGTATTCAATCTTTCATCAGTCATCACCTGCAAATGATTTATGCTGCCTTATATATGCTACAGAACTGCATTGCACAACTTCTGAGCTACAATATCCCATCCCATTTTTTAGTACTCGTTATATGGGAGAAGTGAAATTACTAGAAGATTGAGGCTTGTTGGATATACCTCCCAATTGTTATGTTCTATCAACTGCTGTAGAAGAATTTTAGCCTTCTGTGTGGAAAAGATTCAGTAAAAGAATAGCAGCTTAAAGGAATAGTCATGCTGTAATCCATTGCTGTCTTCTCTAACGGGCAGGAAGTGTTAATCTAACTGATTATATATGGCTGATGGTGAAAGAAACACCATTGTTGATCTAAATGACCTAAATGGCAGTTGCATTGTTGATACTTGATATTTGTGGTTGCCTGTGCACATGAAAATTTCATATTTTCAATTTCAATAAACAGGACCTATTCTGTGTAGTAGTCTAATAGGTTCATACTCTCAACACTATGGTTAAGTAACTTCAATCATTGGATCCGGCAAGGAATGTCCAACTGGAAATTCCAACATGTTGAAGTTATCTTTCTGGTTAATCTAATGTTGAACAATAATAACCAATCAAAAAAGCTATATTACAATAATGTAATTAATTACATGGGTTGCTTTTAAATATTGATAAAAGAGACATTGCTTTGGTGTACTGAATCCTCCCTCCCCCCCCCCCCAAAAAAAAAAAATAAATAAATAAAACGGAAAAAGAGGCCGACATTTTTGGCAAAGAAAGCTCTGATTTCCTCGAGCTGTATCAAATTGTGTCTATCTGCATGTCTAGTATGTTGTTTGCCATTTGGACGGAACTTTTTATGCACGTGATGGATGGCATATCTTGCGATTCTTGGTTTACAGAATCTGTATTCTTTCCATTATTATAATAAGCTAAAACGGAAATGGAATTGCCTTTGCATTTTTCCTTAAATTATCTTTTTGTTCTGGTTTGTAACATCACTATGCTATACTACCTACGCTTGCTTATGATGCATGTCTAAATTTATTATGTATGGCCATCATATTCAGAAAGAACATTCTGTTTAATTTTGACAAACATGGCAGCTTTGAATGAGGCACTAACTGCCGAAGTACAGCGATTGAAGTTGGCCACCCAAGAGTTGAGTGCAAATGCGCATGCGTCAAGCTGCTTGGCTCAACAATTATCCATGAATCCTCAGATGTTTCAGTTGCAACACCAGCAGCCTCCCCAGCTCAACATGTATCAGGCACAGCAGCAGACTCAGCCACAACCACGGCAGCAAAACCAGTCACCACAGCCACAACCTCCGCAACAGTCCCGGCCACCACCACAGACACAGCAGCAGCAGACCAGTACAGGGGCAAAGCACGAGCTGAACCAATAGATTGTGGCGGGTGTGGTACAAGTAGTTAACAAGTCACCACTCATGCGCTGGGCCGCTGGGGTGCCGTCAGATTGTTGTGCAACCAATCAGTACCTGGTCTTGTTGTGAAGGAAAGTCTCCACAGCATTCAACTTTACATTGTGCATCCATGCCCAAATTCTGGGTTGTGGAAAGTATAGGTTTCTATTTTATTTCTTTAATACGTATATATATATATATACACAAATTTCTTTTAGTAGGCCATATTTAGTCTGGATTCTGGAATGTAAGCATTTGTTTTATCAATAACATTTATTGATTCCTTTTTTTATTCTCCCCGTCACAAAAAATAGTCAAAACTCAAAACTAATCTTTTCTTTTTTGGAAGAAATGAATTTACATTTAAATGATATTTGGTTTTGTTGCCTTGTTTGTTACCTTGGCTTTATATTTAAATTGTTGTTATAAGATCAAACTATCATGTAAAGACGATCTTTCTTAAACCAACAAGAAATGAGTATGTTGATTGTTGACTTTTATCTGTCTGATAAAAAATGTGGATGTACGAGTTCATTCGCATAGTGTGGGTTAAATATTTATTCGGCAATCTGGAGCGCCGGATCTTGCATTGGCCAAGTGCAGCAATGGTTTTGAGACTATTTGAGTATTTTCACCTCAGGCTCCGTTTGGACTTTGTTAGGAGTATAAATGCAAATTTGTAGAGTGTAGAACCTTATATTTTGTATTATTTTATATGTATTTGTATTTTTACTTTTTTCCAGACAAGCTCAGTTTTAGAGTACAAATGCAAATATTGTGGAATGCAAAACCTTGTATCTTGTATCATTTTGTATGTATGTAGTTGTGCTCCTTCCAAAACATAGCCTCAGTTGCAATTAAGTGCCACCTTCAACTTGGAAGTAGGGCAGGAGACATGCTTAACACTTGAATCGGTATTTTTTTTTTATTTCTTACTTAAAAAAAACTGGTTCAGGGGGCTGGTTTAAGGAACCTCCACTTCCTGAATCAGCCAGAACCCTGATACAATACGTATCAACCGATATGGGTCGATACGTGTTGATTTTTTGAACCTTGGGATAATGATTTATGGGCTAGCTTTGAGTCTGTTCGTTTTGTCTTAACTCTTATTTCTTAAGAGAAATCTTTTAACTTTAAGAGGAAAATGTGTGTTTATTTTCCCTAATCTATTATTTTTCGTAGTGCAATCATGCAATTTTTTGTTTTTCAGTGATACCCCCGATTCCCCGAAAAGACAAAAACTTTCATATATAGGGTCAAAATAGATATTTGATAACTTTTAAAATTCAGAATTTAGAACATCATTCTCCGCATTTAGAGTTAAGAGGAAAAACTTATCAATACCAATATACTTCTTAATGTAATTATTACACTTTTAGATGTCAGAATTCAAAGCACACAAACAGGCTTTTAGATTACCTTCTACATCACCTTAATAGACTCTAGAATTCATTAAAAAAGGTGATTATTCCACATGCCTCAAATAAGAAAACTTAGTTGATATCTATCAATATGAATGATTCCTTTTGAAGTTGTGAACAAGTTATTTGAAATGCAAAATAATTAGAAGGTTGAATCATTTCATTATGTAGACTATCAAAGTATCAAAACAGGTTACAAATTTTGAGTTTTCTATTTTTTGGGGGGTAAATCGCTCTAACCTCCCCTGAAGTTTGGCAATTGCACTCACCTCCCCTGAACTTTTTGACATAGTTTTAAATAGACCCCTTAAAATCTTTTAAAATGAAGCATGAAGATACACAAAATATCCATGCACATCTCACCATACATTGGGAACATCTCCCAAAGTTGTCAGTGGGAGATGTTCCCAATTGTGGGGCGCAAATGTGAATTCACTTCAAACCATACATACATACATATATCATGCATGCATAAACACCACATGGCTAAACAAGGTTTTAAAAGGATAAAGGCATTGTGAGGCATAAGCCTCAAAAATTAAGAAAAAAAAGTAATTAAAATTTATAAATGATAAAAATCGCATATAATATATCAAGTTAAAATGATGGAAAGTACAAATATCCATAAAATAGAAGTTTACAAGAAATAAGCTTTAACTTTTAAGCATTAAATAAAATAATAATTAATCATCTAACAATTATGTTAGACTTTATGTTTCAAAATAAAATAGAAGTGTTTTACATTTTATGTTTCAAAATGCAATCTTACAAAATTATTCATATGAATAACCATCTATATAATGAGCATTAGATTTATAGTCATCCTATGGTTGGGAAGAAAAGAAACAAGGTAGTTGATTTGATCTATGCAAAAAAAAAAAATCAATAAAATTAGGAAAAGAAATGTGAAAAACAACAAACTTGGGGTGTTAAATTAGAATATTAAGAAAAAAAATCTATTTGATTTATCCAAGAGAAACTAATAATTTGTTTGGCCCTTTTTCTTTTTTTTGCATTGAACTCTCTTAGGCTAAAATACTGATATAAACTAATAGAATTTGATTTTCCCTATTAGTTTCTTGTTTTTATTCTTTTTATTTGGCCCATAATTATTAAAATGCTTTTTCTATATCCTTTGAACTATAAAAAAATACATAAAAATATGTATCCTTTTGCATGGAATCACTAAGTAACGTTGATATTTGAGGCTTACGCCTTTTTAGCCTCACGCCTTGAGGCTTGAGGCTTATACCTCATTCTGACAAAGGCTTAAGCCTCAAACCAAAGTTGTGAGGCTTAACCCTTGAGGTGTACCCCTGCATCTATTTGGTATAGGAGTCTATATGCGTAAGTGATAAAAATTTAGCATGCATCTCGCCATCTCCTTGTAGTGATGAACCTATACAAATATACAGCAATTTGGTACCACAACTAACATAAATTTCAGTTGTAATGCAATTAGCAACCAAAAATCAAATTTATATATCATGAGTCCTATATACCTCTCCTTCACAAACCAAATTTGACAACTGCATGGAAGCAAATAGCAAAAGTAGACGTTTCACAGCGATTAGAAACAAACTCCTAGGATACCATCAAGAATGCCTCTTTCCAGAAGTGAAGCTCCGTGTTTATTAAAATGCCGATGTCATTCACCATTTCAATCTCCAACAGAGAAAAAGGAACCCATTAAAATTCTTCAGCATAAGTCAAATTTACGTCAAAACAAGCCGTATGACCTTAAGGCTCCATTTGGGAAAAATGCAAAAACAAATATGTACATTGCAAAACCTGGTATATGGTTTGCTCTGTACATATTACTCTCTTCCCAAACTGAGCACAAACTTTTTCATAGACTAAGAAGAGTGCACACTCCAAGGAAAACAATAGTGGTTAGGATGTCAATGCACTTTACTGATCTATCATGAAAAAATTTAATACCTAAAACAGTAAACAGAGACAGGCCATGGATCCTCCAATTAAGTAAATTCAAAACATCAGCTTTAGGATCTAATCCCAGTCCACGATGTATCATATCAAAACAAACAAATAGCAGGAATACCACATGACATTGACATTGGCTCCACCAAATTGTTTGATATAATATATACACAATCATGCCGATCAATTGTAGAAATCCCGACAGAACTCCAGGACATGACCATCAATTCCACTTTATACCTCGAAGGGCATCCAAACTATCATCAGATTAAAAGCTTGATTTATTTGGATTAGAATTGAGGACACCATAACGTGGACACTCAGCTAGCCACATTACTGCTTTCCTTCCTTTACAAGAACCCCAGTTAGGATTGCATCATCTCTGAAAGCAATTAACTTTACAAATTCTGGAAAGCTGTCTCTGCATAACAGATGAATCCAATAACTGCCAATGACATCAGAACTAACATCCTCATAGAAACAGAACTGCCATAGGAGCATGGCTACCATGTAGACATGTACCAAGCACAATAATGAACTCAATGATCACTTATAATCCATATAAGCATTAAAAGCAAATAATGTTTGGCATGTAATCAAATGTGCTTTCTGGAATAGAAGAATCCAAAATACTACCCACTAAAACACTGCTACAATCCAGATAAGATGCTCAAGTGAGATGATTTGTTTTTCAAAAAGCATGGGTGACATGAAAAGTTAGTGTTCCTTGTTTTTCCTTAATCTGTCAAGTGGAGCACATAGACCATCAAACTCTAGATTATGCTCAAAAAAAATATCATATTCAAGATTTAAGCATTAACAAGAGATAATTTTCTATGTGGCATTCTATTGCAGTAAAATTAGAAGCTTGATTTATCCTGTCAGGACTCAGAAGCAGACATTTCTGCATCTCCCCAGGAAACAATAGCCATGACCTAAAATTTATTTCAACATCCAAGATGGAAAAAAGGTAACCCAAATTAATTTGCTTCAGCTCCCAAATAAATGATCATTATCAAATGTCCTCGAATTGGTAAACACTACATAACTTATGAACTCAGGGAATGCAAAACCTCCACTCAAACCTTCATGCTGTACAACAAAAGCAAAATAAACCAGACTCCATTATCAAATGTCCCAAATAAATGGTCATTATCAATGCCTTCAATCCCATACTCCTTCAGATTTTGTTTGATCTATACGCCCACACAGTATCAACAAAAGCAAAATAAACCAGACAAGCAATCATGTAGTTGTGCATGTTAAGAATCTTACTACTTCCTTTGTCCATGTATTGCAAATGTTGCCCAGAAAAGGTGCATCTGCTAACAAGTAATTAGAAGCCCGGGACGCATGCTCCTTATCAAGTTATCCGCAAACTTCGCAAATGCAACCCCCTTGTGTTTGTTAGTTGATGAGCTCCTATGCACCCAACTTCAACAATCTCTCCGATAGTTTCAAAAGCATTTCTTACATCTTCCTCCACAGCATCCCTATTCATCCCACTTACAAATATCTCCTGCTCTTTCTTCATCTTCCGCTCCTTAGCCACAGCAGATATTTCCATAAGTTCTTCCAATCCACCGGCTTCATCAGCCGACCCTGCTTCGTCTTCTTCCACTCTCTCGTCATCCCCGGGTTCTTCAAAACCCTCTTGCTCACAGTACTCCTCCATCCTCTCTTGACAGCCATGTTATTCTCCATAGATCGAATATCATCACCGTCCACGCTAATGGGTCACTTTCAGGTTCATTTGTGTCCTCTGCAGCTTCTAGCACCTGCTCCTCCTACTTGAGTTCTTCCTTCGCCTGTTTTTCGTCCATCGGAACACCCTATTCCTCCTTTATCGTAGATTCTTGAACATTTCCAACAGCAGATTCTTCTTTCTTATGATTCATTTGAAGTTCTTCAACCGCAAAACGGCCAGTTC